AACTCTTAAAAGAAAACATAGGGGTAACTCTTTGTGACCTTGGGTTAAACAATGGTTTGTTAGGTACAACACCAGAAGCATAAGCAACAAAAGAAAAGATAAATTGAACTTCATCAAAATTTAAAACTTTTGTGCTTCAAAGGACAAAAAAGTGAAAAAACTCACAAAATAGGAGAAAATATTTGTGAAACACTTATCTGATAAGGAACTTGTATTCAGGGCACATTGAAAACTCCTATAACTCAACATTAAAAAAGATAACCTAATTAAAAATATGGGCAAAGGATTTGAATAGACATTTTTCTAAAGGAAATATACAATGACCAATAAGCATATGAAAAGACATCACTAGTCCTAAGGGGAATTCAAAACAAAACCACAATGAGATACCACTTTATGCCCACTACGATGGATATATTCAAAAAGATAGACAAATAAAGGTTGTCAAAGATGTGGAGAAATGAAACACTCATACTGCTGCTGGGAATGTAAAATGGTTCAGATGCTTTGGAAAACAATTGGACAGTTCCTCAAAAAGTCAAACATACAGTTAACATATGACCCAGAAGTTCCACTCTTAGTTATATACCCAAGAGAAATGAAAACATGTGTCTATACAAAAACTTGTACATGGAAGTTCATAACATCATTATTCACTAACCAAAAAGTGGAAACAACCCAAATGCCCCTCAAATGGATAAACAAAGTGTGGTATATCCACACTGTGTAATATTATTCAGCCATGAAAAGATATGAAGTGCTGATTCATGCTACAACATGGATGAACCTTGAAAATATCATGCTAAGTGAAAGCCAGACACAAAAGACCTCATATTGTATGAATCCATTTATATGAAATGTCCAGAAAAGACAAATCCATAGAGACAGAGAATTAGATAGCTGTGATGGCTGCAATATCTTTAAATATAGTAAAAACCCCTGAACTGAATGTTATACTATGTGAATTATATCTCAATTTTAAAAAAGAAATAAAAAAATTTTGAGTCCAAAAAAACCTTCCTCAGAAGATTGGGGAAAAGAAAAAAGTTTAAGAAAATGCAATTTAGCTTCCCAATGCCCCCAAGAACAAATCTAATGTAGTAGTTAGCTTCTGAAGATATAAATAAGATTTTAAGTAGTTAGGTTTTACATGTATATCCATTGGGAATAGAAGGATTGGAGCTTTTTTTGTTTGTTTGTTTCCTTTTTGTCTTTTTTCGTGACTGGCAACGGATCACAACCCTCAGTGTCGCGCCCGTACCAGACCGGGACCGGCAACAGGATCGCAACCCTGTTTCCTTGCCTTTTCCAGCTTTGGGAGACCACACATTTTTTGGCTCTTGGTTCTTTCTTCCATCTTCAAAGCCAACACTGTTGCATGTCTACCAGCCTTCTGCAGTC